TTGAGCTTTCCAAACTTGAAGATTTTGATGCCACTCTTGGTTGAAATAGAGCAGCGAAATGCATTTTAAAAGTGCATATCTTAAAAGGAAAATGCTTTATAGAATTCCATTCAGAGTGGGGTTTATTTTCCCCTGATGGAGATTATTATGGAAATAGAGTAGACTTCAGGGAATTCAGTCCCGGGGTAAACAATGGGATTTTTGCTATCGCCATTTTTAAAAAGAAGGCACTGATGGTTGCAATTGAACTGCTTTTGAAAAGGGACCAGACATGATCTCAGAACTGCTTGATGGCTGTTTATTGCTTACGAATAACAGGTCCTCGACTTATGACCACAATTAGCTCAAAATTTCTGTTGCTAAGCGAGACATTTGTTAAGGGAGTTTTACCTCATTTCATGATTTTTTGGGGTCATGGTTGCTAAGTAAATCCCTGCATTGATTAAGTTAGTAACCTGGTTGTTAAGTGAATCTGGCTTTCCCATTGACTTTGTCAGAAGGTCATAAAGGGTGATCTCATATGACCCCGGGACACTGCCACCGTCATAAATAAGCATCTGAATTTTGATCACGTGAACATGGGGATGTCGCAACAGTCATAAGTGTAAAAAAAAATGTCATAAGTCACTTTTTTCCCTACCATCGTAACTTTGAATGATCACTAAATGAACTCTTGAAAGCCGAGGACAGCCTATAAAAATAACATACGTCAACATGTCACGTTTTGGTCACCACGATGTAAAAAAGAAGTTGAGACTCTAGAAAGAGTGCAGAGAAGAGCAACAAAGATGATTAGGGGACTGGAGGCTAAAGCATATAAGGAATGGTTGCTGGAATTGGGTATTTCTATTTTAATGAAAAGAAGGATGAGGGGTGACATGATAGCAGTGTTCCAATATCTCAGGGGCTGCCAGAAAGAAGAGGGAGTCAAGCTATTCTCCAAAGCGCTTGAAGGCAGGACAAGAAGCAACGGGTGGAAACTAATCAAGGAGAGAAGCAACCTAGAACTAAGGAGAAACTTCCTGACAGTTAGAACAATTAACCCGTGGAACAACCTGCCTCCAGAAGCTGTGAATGCTCCAACACTGGAAGTTTTTAAGAAGAGACTGTACAGCCATTTGTCTGAAATGGTATAGGGTTTCCTGCCTGAGCAGGGGGTTGGGTTAGATGACCTCCAAGGTCCTTTCCAACTTTATTATTATTATTAAGTACTAATTGTTTGGGAGAAACAATCAAGGAGGGCAAACGTCCTCCCATTTTATTTATTTATTTACTGGTTTATTTTTATTTGTCAAACAAAAATGACAAATTTGAACAACCAAGAAAATAAGAAAATCCAAATGTGACAGGGATGATAGGCCTGCCAGTGGACTTAGGCATGCCCCCCCCCGAAACTATTTGTTTAACTGTTTTATTAGTAACTCACTGCCTTGAGAGGTTTTGCAATGATCTGATCCAGGAGAACTAATATAAGAAATGACAAGTCCAGCTGATAGCCTACTCTGTTTACTTTGAACCGAAACTGAGCACAGCCAATGTATGTGCCTTGAATCCTAAGAATACAGGAAAAAAACCTTTCTAAGTTGGCTCTCAGTCAATCTGCTTCAGCATTTAAGGTTTACAGTAGTGAACGGATTCTATTTGGAAGCTCACAAGCCTGAACTGCAAGGGTCACTTCTCAGGAGCCATTATTTAAGGAAGGGTTTCCCATTCCAATATGCAAATTTCCTGGTATGTACACTTCAGTTCCCAGAACTCCACAGCCAGCATAGCTGAGAATTCTGGGGGTTGAAGTCTACTCACCTTCATTTTATTTGCATGTTAAATAAAATTTATCGAGATGGGTTGAGGCCTTTCTGTAGAACATTGAATTCTGCAGTAAATATCATCCTATTTTCCCCCACAAGTTGGGTTGGCTAAGAAAGGTTGACTGGCCAAAAGTCATCAGCCAGCTTCCATGCCTAAGGCGGGATTAGAACTCACAGTCTCCTGAGGACTT